CGAACTGAAAGAGTTAACTTGACTTCTCCCAGTCGGCCAGTAAGTATTTATATTATTATTAAAACATAACTGAAAAGACCTATGTGCCCTTACTTAAGTTAAGAGCACTTGTTCCAACACAACATTACADATCAGCAACATTAATCAAGATATAAAGACAGAAATACCCCTATGCTAACAGTCCTCAAGCTTGAACATCACATTCTTAATAGTCCCCATGAAAGAGAATAGGTTCATGGATGATTTCGTCATGTGTAAGATTGGAATAGAGAACATTAGTTTGTCCTTGCTTTTCCAGGCGGTTATGTATATTCAGGTCACTCTTTAGCCTATTTTGTATGTTTGGTCTTTTATACCAGGATTTTGCATTGTAGCAATACTGTCTCTTTTCTTGTATCAATTCTTTCTCTGCAGTTTCATGTGTTATTTATCAAAAGAAAATTAAAAAAAACAAAGAACAAAGGCCATTACCCAATTTTTGTCCCAGCAATCTGGGGTCTTTGGAAGTGTGGACTGGATACAGATGTAACATTTGTCATTTGCTGTTTATCAAATGAAAGACAAAATTGATCGAGTTTTTCTTTAAATCGTGTCTTTCACACATTTAGAGATGTAGATCAATATTAACAGAATACATGGTACCCAAAAATTTTGATGGCAATATACTCCACTGAGGCAAGGAAAGAGAGACGAGAGAACATATCTACAACAACAAACATGGTTGTACTTACTGTTTCCATCATGAAGATTATCCTGAACCCTGACTTGTGTTTTGGTGCAGCTCCCAGTTTGCAAACTCAATACTTCATTATTTTCTTTCCCAAATGGCAAACCTCGATGATTTCCACCCAACATTTTGGTAGAACTACTACGCCGTTTACCTTGCCTCCCTGTCCATTGATCAGAAGGCAATGAACAATTGCCTTGAATTCCTAGGTCAGGTAAGCCTGCAAAAAATAGATAATAGAGGAAACATCTTATCAACAAGGAACCAAATCAAAATATGCACTAAAATTTAACCAGTTCCAGTAAAAAGTGGAGCTTGATTAAAGGAGTGCTAACCTTGACTAACTTGGCTATGAGAATAATTATGTGTTTTTTTAGTCTTTTGGTCCCTAGAGTTGGTTGAAGGTTTGCCAGGCACCACATTTCCCTCAGTATTTGTTGTAGGCATTCTTGATAAATCGATTAGCACCCCAGATGCCAATGAATCCTGATCAGTACAATGCTCATGAAGCTCCTCTTGATAACTAATTGAAATCCTCTCATGTTCATTCAGTTTCATGTCATGCCTAGAGTGTTTTGTGGAGTTATCCAATTCAGCAGTTTGGTCTTCCATATGGACATTAATTTGAGAATAAGAACCACCAGAGTCTAACCCATTCCAGCTAGCTGAAGAGCCATGATTGCTAGGCAAAGACACTGGCTTACAAGATCTCAGCTGCCCATGCACATCTCTAGCATCAGGATTGCACTTTGAGCCTAGAACTGATAATCCCTCTGTTACATTATCTAGAGTTATCCCATTAGCCTCCCTATGTTGCTCTGCAAGGTGCTTCTGTTTTGCCTCATTCTCAATTCGCCTTTGATACTCCAATGTTTCTTCTAGCTTTCTTTCCTCGGCTTCAAGCTCTATCTTATGTCGAAAGTCCTCTTCCTGTTGTTGCAGAACATCACAGCTTATAGAACCAACAGCCACGGAATCAAGATGGTTTTTGTCCAATAAAACTGAAGAGTAACTGCAGCATAACATTAATTTCAATTTATGCATAAATATGGTGGATGGTACGATTTATCAAAAAAAAAAATGTTGGATGGTACTAATAAAAAGCAGAAAAAAGATCAAATATGTTCAATAGTTCACATGCATGTGTCAAGCAAGAGAACAAGAAGGGCATACGTCTGTTCCTCAGATTCCTGACAGAGAATCTGCTCACTAACACCAGCAGCCTGCAAAACTCTAAAAATATTAGCCCTACTTAATAGAATTTGTATGCAACATAACTATGGCTCTAATGAAAGAAACAGAACCAGACCCGACACAGTTAAAACCTTTAAATCCTTTGCTTTTCTGTAATCCTTGTTCTTTTTCCTATCTTTCGATTTCTCCTGTATCTGTTTCAAATGATCACCTCCTCTACTAGCACTATTCTTGGCATCAAGTGCAAGTTCAGCTAAAAATGCTTCTCTTGCAGCATCAGACTTTTCCATAGCATCTTTATCAACCAGATTCTCTAAGTATGCCTGGAGAAGAGAGATAACAATGAAGTATAAAAGTCACTTATGCAATGATGGGGAATATAACCTTAAATCCTTAAAATACAGACCCGCATGAATGACTTTAAAAGAGGTAACATAATTGCCCGGTAGTCATGAGCCAATAAGGGCCCCAGCTTAAGCTCCAACTGTTGCATGCCACTGACATTCCGCATAATTCTTGCATCAGTTTTACTGAGCTGCAAGACCAATATGGTCATATATAAGGGAAGCTGGGAAGGGAAACCATATTAATACTTCTGTTTTAAACATACAACAAGAAACCAGAACCAACAGACTTACCTCCACAGATAACTGATCTTTCTGTTTCTGGATTGTCACTTCTATGCATGTGTCTGCCTGATGCAGGTAGTCCTGCATTCGCCAAACATCATCTTCACCATAGTCCAAGTCACATAAACGAGAAGTCATACCATTCATAGGTTCATCATACCCAAACTGATTAGCATTCAGACTCTTTGCTTCTTTAAGAATATTGGATATTGCATCCAACTCAAACCTACTGCTGATGAACATAACATCATTGTCCATCTCAACAAGTTCTTCTTGCCGCTTCCTCAGGACTGTTTCATAACTTTGAGTGACAAGTTCTGTGACATGTTCCCTTCTCTTAAGTTCATTAAGACAGAGGCTCTCAACTGCCTGTAATGCTTCCTCATAGCTCAAATGCTCACATTTCCTATCACATAAGCTCTGTAGGAGGTAGAATTCCTTCTCGAGCATCTGGAGAACTTCCATTCCTTTACGTGTTTTCTCTTCTCTCAGATGTGTCCATGATGACAGTTGCTCCCCACTTGATGGACCTGTAAACATCCAGGACAACAGAGCATCATTCTCAGGCAGTACCCCGTTCTCATGATCAACAAGAACAGAATTTGTTGCAGAACCATCATCCGCATGAGCACTATCATAGGTAAGTGGAGTAAGTGTCCCCCGTAGTAAACGCTCATCCAAAAGGAGACAAGAGGAATCATTAGTAAAAACAATCCTCTCTTTGATTTTGAAACCTGGAGAAACAGTATGTGCATCATTTGTAGAGGTGCTCTTCTCAGAATATCTGCCTAAACCACATGAATGAGAAATCTCCTGCAAGAATTTGATGATTTTTCTAAGCTGGGAGGCCCCTAAGAAGCATATGCACAATGGTGTTTGGTCCAAACCATGGTTCAGAAGTTGTGAACCTGAAGCAAGACTCTGAAGTTCATTCATTGTGTATTGAATTACCTTGTTAAGATGGCTCACAGCAAGACACTTATGTCTCAGAAGCAATTGGAGCATGCCACGGATTCTTTCTAGGAGCTTTGCACGCTCAGAATCATCTGACAATGGCCAAATCTGGGCACGGTAACATCCCCTTGATAACCGGTTCCCACTATATTCCCTCGACTGGAAATCAGAAATGTAATCATGGCTTGTGTTTTCCAGAGCATTTTCATTGCCAATATCCCCTGCTTTGAACTCTTCATCCAGTGGTTGTACCTTACCCTCATCGGGGGAAGAATCCGATGGATCTTTGGAGCACCAATCATCAACTAGAAATTCTTCCTTATTCTTGTCCCTGTGGTTCCTGATATCAGATTCATTGAAGAGCTTAGGAGATTGGCATCTCAACTGATTTTCAAGCATACTTAGTGCAGCAGAAGCATCGACAGGTTTCCATGAACCATTAACAAGCATCTCTGCCCAATCAGTATCAACTTCTTGAGGCAAGACTGACTGCAATTTTGGAGATAAGTTTCCCATGTGCTCCCGCACAATATGCTGCATGTATGAACCGCAATCAGTAAATTTCTCGTTGCAACGGCAGCACAACCAAAACTTCCATGTTTTATGGGACTCCGCAAAAGATAGAGCTTCTGATAAGACCTCCGTCGCTAAGCCATCCTTAGATGAACTGAAATGAGCCTTGAGATCGTGAACACTTACTTCAAGCAAGCTTTGCTTCTTATCAAGACTCATAGAATTCCAATAAGATCGAACCTGATCCATTCTGTCAACCGAAGAGGCAACTTTCCGTACATTTGCATACTTGCGACGCTCTCCCACTCGATGTGACCCAGAAGATGACTCCGAAGCTTTCTCTTCGTCTTTTGGGGATTGGGGAGAACCAGATTTCTGCTGCAATAGCCTGGCAGCAGCAACGCGCACCTCAATCTCCTTCCTTCTTTCTTCAGGCGTCTTCGTCGCCTTCTTGATTTCATTGGGCCGCCTAGTCTGAGCCAGCCTGACCTCCATGGGGTCTTCCGATAGCCTCCTCATCGGAATCAAACGAAACCTCTCCTCCCCAGTCCCACCTCCGAGATTCTTCATCCACGTAGAAATGGAAGCAATGTTGGCTTTCTGGATGAGCGAACGGAGTTCCTGCTGCATATGAGAGATTCGTGCCTCGGGCGTGGACAGCTTCTGCTGGTTCTCATCCTGCAAGCTCTCTATGGCAGGATCGACAGGGTTCTGAATCAAGAACGCTCGCTCACATTCCTGAACAACCTCCTCGTAGCCCTTGCTATCATTGGCTGCCTCATAGAGCAGATTCGCATAGAAGTGGGCGAACTCAATTGAATTGGGAGAGAGCGCAACCGCACGTCGAGCAGACTCAATTGCGTTCCTAAGGTGTCGCTGCTTGGCATTGGGGTCGTCAATCAGGGATGCCACCTTAACACAGACAGTACCCTGGACGCGGTGGAGGAGAGCAGAGCTCTCGTGGCGGAAGCAGGACTCCTTCATCAGTCTCAAAGCCTTGGTGTGGTTTCCCCGCCGAAGAGCAATGAGGGCTCGCTCGCATTCGATCTTGACCGCGGAGTACGACGAAGTATCCGATTGAACAGCAGCTTCGATCTTGCTCTGCTCTTGCCTGGAGTCATCGGAGTGACCAAGATTCGGCGTCTTTTCATATTCGACGGAGCCCAGACCGTCGAGATTATCGGCGGGAACCACCGTAGCAAGAGCAGAAGGTCTAGAGCGGGGAGCAACATTCCGCTTCTTATGCCCCATTAATCAATTCAGTTTGAACGCATACCAACAACATCAGAAACAGAGGCAACACAGCAGATAGAAAAATGGATAGTTTCTTGAAGAAACTAACGGACAGACAGATTTAAATGGATGGAAACGCATTCAAGAACGATGGATAGAGGAAGAGAAGGTGAAGAACGAAGTTGGAATTCTCGCCTGCAGCGACAGCAATTTACGAGTTCTGATATTTATATCCCAGCAGCAGAAGCAGCAGCTCGCGTGTTATGTTTCTGTCGAGCTCTCATCGTCTGTTCCCACAGAAAATTTTCTGTCCCTCCAATGGCAATCGAACACGTCGTTTTTTTACAAATTGTTTAAAACTCACAATCACTTTTCAACATTTCCAGTAAATATTTATTTTTCAAAATTCACCTTAGTGCACCGTTAATATTTCTTAATAGAAATGTTCATGTAAGCATAAATAATAATTTTTATCATCAAATTACTCTTGAATGGTGAGTTAGAGAAAAAATTGTCTTTTAAGTTTTTAATTTTCTTTTTCTTTTTTTTGCATTTTTAATGTTTTGTTATAATTTTCAATGTTTTTTATAAATTCTGTTTTTTTACATTTTTCTATTTTCTATAATTTATAATTTTTTTTGTATTTTTGTTATTTATTTACAATTTCTTTGTTTTTTTATAATTTTTGGTGTTTTTTCTACAATTTTTATTTTCTGATTTTGTTTTTCAATTTCTATAGTTTCTATAATTTGAAAATATTTTTTTTGTTTGCAATTTCTATAATTTTTTTTATTTTTTATAATTTCTATGTTTTATGTATTTTATATTTGAAAATATTTTTTTGAACTTTTTCCTTTTTTTAATATCTAAATATTAAAATGGTAATATATTAACTGCAGTTAATTTATTTTGTATATATTTTATATTTTTCTGTGAAGGTTAAAATGGTAATATATTAACACCCGTTAGTCTGTTTAATGTCAAGTTAGTGACATGGTGATAAATTAACACAGTGAAAATATTTTTTTGAACTTTTTCCTTTTTTTCATATCTAAATATTAAAATGATAATATATTAACACCTGTTGGTTGTTTAATGTAAGTTAGTGATATAGTGAGTTCTAGATATTTTGAAAAATTGTGACGAATTTAAGAGAAATACTGAAAACTCATACCGAGTTTTTACACAGTTTCCTTTTTGTAAATTTTATAATTAACGGAGTCCATACTTTAACAACAGTCCGGACTCCAAAGACTTGTCAATTTTGGTTAAACAGCCCCCATAGCCAGTAAGAGTGTTCTGAGCTACATCGAACCAATTCAGCATAGTGAGACTCCCAAGACTATCCGACAATTCGCCGTGGAATAGATTGTTGAAGACTTGAAGAGCTCAATCTATTGTGTGCTCTTCAATCCTCCAATGCTCTCCGGTATTTTGTCGGAAAGATGGTTGTTGGAAAGATCGAGATTTTGAGCAAGATGAGATTTCCAAAAGACTGGTATCTCTCTACTGAGATTACATTTAGGAAGCCACTTGGTGAGGTTTCCAATATGCAATGGCAAGGGACCTGGGGTGAAAGGGTTGTAGGTCAGTTCGAATCTAGTGAGCGGGGTGAGATTGGTAAAGAAGGAAGGGACGGCAGTGTCTTCTATAAGAGAGGTGGCTGGAAAACAAGGGAGGAAGAAGAGGAGCAAAACAGGGAAGAGAAGCAAAAGGGAGCGATGATGTGTCATTTTTTAGGAGCAAAGAAAGAGAGATAGAAAGACAGAGAGTATATTAAAGTTTAAATCTAAATGGGATTTAGTTTCTGTGAAAGAAAAGTTCACTGAGAAATAGAGAAAGAGGGTATGGGTTCAGGAAAATGGAAAATCTTCCAATGAGGCAACAAATGATAAAACAGTAGCCGGTTTTCTGCTTCTGCTACTGGGGAATACAGTCCCAGGCTTTGGGCGGAGGGGAGGGCTCGTAAATGAAAAGAGAATAATTGCGTGGGGGATTTGGACTGAGTGAATGCTCTGTTTTTCTCCCTAATGAAAGAAAAGGTCTGAGTGAGAGAGTGAGAGCACGAGAAAATAATGGTTTCAGTGTGGTTAATGAACTACGAAGGTATTCTTTGCCTTGTTGTTTTTGCTGATTTTTTATTAGTATTTTTTTGGATAATTGACAGGGTAGGTAATGAATGGTGAGTTATTTGTAGTCTTTGCCGGGGACATGGTCGAAGATCCACCTACTAGAGTCATACTTGGAATTATATCTGACATAGGATTTACCATGGTCATCTTTAAAGCTCCATCTATAAGAATCCGGACCTCTGCTGTTTTTTAAACGCTACTCTATTTTAAATTAATAGTGGAACTGAACATCAACGATTGAGTGAGAGAGGGGAAGGGGGAGATGGCGGAGAGAGATGAAAACGAAAATGAAAAAGAGTGAAAATGAATGAGGAATGGAGTTGGGCGCCTAAATCAAAATAAAAAAGAAGTTTGGAGCCCAGGCTAAGATTCTGTCCCTAGGAGACAGACGATGAGAGCTCGTGTCTGTCTATCGTTCTCGCTCTCACGGTCTCACCTAAAAACAGGTCAGACGGTGAGATTGAGAAGTTTCTTTATTCTCCGGTTGAAGATGATTTTGTTTTTTTTTTTGGTATGTAAGATGATTCAGAATCAACTCTCTCTCTCTCATTTCACCCCACTGTCCTTCGTATAGGATACAAGACACAATAGACAAGCAAGAACCCGAGTTCATGTCTGCGCCTCACAAGGGAAACATCTCCCGATGATAGTACCAATCTCTTATCGGGAGATGTTCCTAATACATTGGCGGGGATGTGCCTTGTGGGACACGTCCCAGATCTAAACTCCAAGAATCGACGTCAATTGATGAATGAAGTAGCCTAAACGGTCCATGGGTCGTCCAGATTTCTTTTTGTAGAAATCCATCATTCCATCTAATATAAAAAAAAAAGAGAAGTACGGATAGGATCATTGCAGATTTCTGAATCTCACTGCAGAATTATTAACTTTCAAACTGTCAAACACCCCCGCTTTATGCATCAATGCCCTCCCCTAATTGGCATCAATTCCGAATTGGCACCTATCCAATTATACTTTTGGCTTAAAAATTCTAATCCTGAGCTAAACCATAATTCTCTCAAAAAAATTAAACTGTTTTACACAGTACACCAATACACACTACTACCCGATCCCAATTCCTGAAATATTTTTGCTCTATCGGTTGCATTTGTTTGGAACTCAGAATAATTTACTAATAGAATTCGGGTCAGATTGAGTATTTATTATTAGAAAATTTCTTTTATTTATACTTTTTAGAAGTCATTTTTTTGGTTTTTGAAGTCAATTCAATTGGTCTTGGTAAGAAGAATATTTTGTATTTCTGTAATTCACATGACCAGGAAGAGAGGTTACAAAACACAAACAAATAAATAAATAAATACAATAAATTCACTTGAAAGTCCATCCATATCATGCCCAGCACCCTTGGGGAGAACTTCAAAGTTCTAAAATATTGCATAATACTTTCTACAAAACCAAGTAGTCACAAACTAAGGTTATCAATAACCTCTGATTTAATAAAATGAGCAGTGATGAGATACATGGACTGTGTTACAAGAGTCAGATTCCCAAGAAGAAAATCTTAGATCACTTTTTTATATAAATAAGTAGTTGCCTAAGTGAGAATAGGTCGATACCTAGTCACCTAGCTGACAAGGCATTCTCTCATCACCCAACCTCAACTTAGCATCTTCCTACACATTTTAAATCGTTTTTACATTTATCTTATTTGTTTGAAACCGGTGCAAAGGTGTGGGTTCATCATTAAATGTTCCAATTATCTTATGTTTCAATGTCTTAACTTTGATCAAAAAATTAATTATCAAAAGAACACAAAATTGTATTTAAAAAATAGGTACAATAATACTCTCTTCTCAAAGTGCAAAAGTGTCAAAAAATAAATTTTTACTCTGATAATCATTACTTTTTTATGTATCAAACAAATGCTTGCAAACGCAAACCGGGGTACATAAATACCCTAATTCAGTGTTTGTATTACAAACAAACGGAACCTTATACTCAATTTGAAAGGAGTACAAATGCAAATATGTAGAGTACAAAACCTTATATTTTATATTATTTTGTATGTATTTGTACTGTAAATATTAGCATTTGTATTGTTTCCAAAGTGAGCATTAATTGAAAATAATATGTCCATCAAACAGAGGTGTTAGATATCGATTTGACACTGGAAAACAAAGCAGGGAAGTTCTAGTAGATAAAGCATTCAAACTTTTAAGTAAATACTTAACAAAAATTAATTCATATCCTCCACATCAATGCTTAAAACCTCCAACAAACTGTCAGAGCAATCTAGGTTTCAGAAATGACTGGGCATGAATTGCATGTTGAAGCAACTTGCCTTGATTCTAACAAATTCTGGAAGTATTTGATAAAAGTCAGCAGAGTAACTTCTAGTACTGTCCAACTTCCAAACCTAAAACAAGTCTAAGTGGATCATAGAAGCTTCACTCTCGGGTGGAACGAGTAAAAAAATCTTATTTAAATATTGTTTTGCACCACTTCCATTTTTAAGGATATAGAACAAGGCAAACTATAAACCTCAAAAAAAAAAAAGGGGGCCACTCTATAAACATGGACACCTCTTCTTATCATTCCCAACATACATAAAAGGTGCTTTCAAGAATAAAAACTATGGGGAGCCGTCTCCCCTGGCTCCACCCCATACAGGGTGGTTCCAAATTATATGGCATTCAACAAATTTCTTAGTAGTTATTGTTGTTCATTGAATTTTTTTAATATAACAAAAAAATAATTACAAGTAAAATTATATTTTTGGATTCATGGGGCTATACAACAGGGGTAGTCACTGTTTTCAAAACCGGATCAGATCGGACTAGACGGTCAGACTGGAAAAACTAGGAACCAGTTACCTAATCGGTTCTGTTTTCCTCCAAAACAGCTTTTCCCCCAAAACTGTTGATTTTGGTCAGCAAATCGCTAAATCGGTCAGTTAATCGTTCGAACAGTTTTAACCGTTTTTTAATATTTTTTTTTGTCAGAACGAGCATACCATTCAAGTCGAACGGTCGAACCATTCAAACCGGTAACCAGACCCCTGACCAGTTTGTTTTTAAAAACCATGAGGATAGCCCATCCCCATAGTGGAACTGGATTAGAAAAAGCATAAGCTTTAAAATAGTTGCCAAGGCGTCTAGGCACCCTAGGAGGCTCACTTCGCGTAATCGCAAAGCAATTTTGTACATTGTGTTATAAAATACTTTTATATTCTTGATTTTTTGAGCTTATCTCATTATAAAATAGACATTATTAAACTAAAATATTCATTTTGTATATTTATATACTAATTTCTTTTTATTATTTTTTTATTTGTTAGGATTTAATCAACACAGACATTGCTATTGGTCTATTGAACCCTAAAAGACTTTCAAAACATGAACCAATACTAATTTTCCTAAAACAAAAATAGGGGTTCAGTCGTTATATTTTTTGAATTTTCATTGCTTTATTATTTTTCTTCTCATGAATATATTGATTTTCTATAAACATGAAGTTTATATTTTTCTTATGAAAATTATGAATAATTATTAAGAAAATATGGTTATGGAACCTAGGGAACTACCTTAGATATATATGTTTTTTACTTAAAAAATTCATTGCCTAGGCGCCCCCTATCACCTAGCATCACCTTGACGCCTTTAAAATTATGGCTCTAATGTCCAGTGCTTCATCTCCCTCTATCTCATGCACACAATATATTTGGTGCATTAATAAAGACCATACGCCATAGCTATCTGATTTACAAGCATTTTCTCTACAATTTTGTGGAGTTGTCTAGAATAGTGTATAATTGCCTAAAATATATATAGAGATATATTGACCAATCAAGAGGTTTGTAGGATGGTTTGGGGATTGTAGAGAGGTCCAAGTTGGAAGATGCGAGAGTATTTCAGAAAGAGGTCTAGAAAGTTCCAAATCCACCAATTGTCTAACACATATAGACCGCATGTTGTAACAACCAATCACAATAAATAAGAGGAGCCTCCAATTCACAAGGCACCTCACAAGGGTTGTGCACTTTCCATATTGGTAAATTAGCAATTCACTTATGTACTCTCTCTTTCTCTCCTGAGTTCTCTTAATTTGGACCTTCAAAAAGGTCATAAATACATCAGGTTAGGGTATTGTAGAACTGCTACATGGCAAGATTCAAGGAAGCACTTAAGGGAATTGTAGGATGCCTGAACTAGAGCTAGCAAAAATCTGATGTGGAAAATTATCTCAAAGCAACACATGGAAAATAAACGCAACAATGTCAAACACCCTCAAGGTGATCGCCAAGGGCCATTTGATATGCTCCGAATCCTCTCCAGGCCAGTGAGGAGAGGATCCTTTACTGGTGAATTTAAATAAGTTGGCATGTATCATTGGACCAGCAAAGGATTCTCTCCTCACTGGCCAGTAGAGGATTAAGAGCCCATTTGATAACAGCTGACGTGGCTAAAGTGAATGACTTATTGATTTATCTTTTAGCTAATAAGCTATTCAAGAGGGTGCAAATTCCTCAATGGCTGAAGATGAAGTTGGATTGATTATCATATCTTGAATATTTAATTGTTGATTTATTTTATCCACTAAAGAACAAAGCAATGAGTCATTCAGTTTAGTTTTAGTACATTAGTCATTTCAGCCTTTTCAAAGGGTCCCCTGAGCCCGAGGTATGACCAAAGAATACCTCAAATGTGTTTACCAAGTAGGGACTTCTGGAGCAATCAATTGAAACTTATAAATGCAAAAGGCTGATTGTCAATACAAAAGAACATTGCAGTTGAATTTTTATAACCTCCCGATGTCATACGTAACAAAGCCTGTTAAATATACATATCCAACATATTCATACACCTCAATGCATCCAGTGTGAGCTGTGCAGAAAATTTCGAACCTTTCACCAGTAATCCTTGCAAGAGCACAGACCGTCTTTGAAATGATGGAACCGAATGCGATCTCTCACAATAATCTCCACATTGAAGGCTCTAGAAATCAATTTAGTCACCATGTGACAATCATTACAGACCCGTAGATTTTTAAAAATGCGAATTGGCACTCCTGGTCTTGATTTAAGTAGCCCAAAAGCTATGGCAAGCCTCTCACTGTGGAGGCGAAGTGAATGTTCTTTTCCATCTTGGAGTTCATCAACCATAGGTGCTTGTGATAAATCAGGCACATAGCCCAGCAACTCTAGCCTCTCTTCAATTACACTCAACACTCGGTAGATCTCTTTGGTATGGGAGTGTGATGTGTCTCCAGCTAGAAATTGATGAATCTGACCTTCTATCTCTATTGAACTGCAACCGGGCTCCTTTATTATACCCTTCTCACTCATTAATTTTCGAACCAAACCAACCTCATTCCAACGGTTTGCTGAAGCATAGACTCTGGACAAGAGCACATAAACTCCACTGCAGATACCACCTTCTGATTCAAGCAAACGATTGGCAACTTCTTCACTCAGCTCAACGCTGGCATTTTTCTTACAACAAGCGTCAAGAAGACTCCTCCAGATTACCACGTCAGGCTTCATGGGCATCTCTGACACAAGCTTCAGAGCTTCATCAATGAGCCCAGCACGAGCGAGGAGATCAACCATGCACCCATAGTGCTCTAATTGAGGTTCAATCTCATACTGACTAACCATCAAATTGAAGTATCTGCGGCCCTCACTCACTAGACCCCCATGATTACACGCACTCAGAGCGCCGACGAATGTAATCGAATTGGGCATAAGCCTACCCATCCTGCACATGGAAGCAAAGGATTCTAGAGCCGCCTCCACCCGCCCGTGCATGGCGAATCCTAAAATCATAGAATTCCAAGAAGTCACGTCTCGTGTGCGCATTCTCTCAAAGACTTGACGAGCCATGTCTAAACACCCACATTTGCAATACATATCCAATAGTGAATTATTCATTAAAACATCGTTAGCTACATCGTCACTGAAATTTTTTAACACATAAAAATGAGCCCACATCCCTAAAGACAAAGCCCCCAAGCCACCACAAGCGCATATGACACTCTGCATTGTATAGCCATCGGGTTGATACAAACTCTGCACCTCGGAAAATAGTTGCAAGGCAGTAACGAAGTCACCAAACTGAACATACCCATCTATTATAACATTCCACGAGACCAAACTTCTAGAATGCATTCTTTCGAACACCTTCCTAGCCAGATCCAAACATCCACAAGATGCATAGAAATGAATGAGACTGTTATTAACGTAGGTATCAGAGTCGAACCCAAGTTTCAAAATCTGAGCGTGTATCTGTTTGCCTTCGTATATAGCTACCAAGAACGCGCAGGCCTTGAGAACAAATGGGAAGGTATGTTTGTCCTGTGCAACACGTCCTTCCTCCAGCATTCTGCGATAGAGTAGGATGGACTGGTCCTTACGATCGACGCTCCACGCGTATGCCCTGATAAGTGTATTCCATATGAATGAATTGGGGCTCTCAATTTGATCGAAAAACCGAGATGCGTATTCAATATCAGAGAAGGCAGAGAAATGTAGAATTCGACTGTACAAGAAGAGTGTCTCTGGCTGACTGGCCGAAGTAGTCCGCAGTGTCTGAGCGTGGATCTGTTTGAGCTGTGAAATGCTCTTGCAATCTCTTACAAGGGTCAGGAGATGGTGGCATCGATTGCTGCTACTGTTGTTGACAGTGAGTAGATGAGAGGAAGGGTTTGCTGTCAGCGCCAGAACCATAACGAACAACGATATATGGTGGGCAAATGCCTGTGGACAGACAACGAGATAAGAAGAAGACGAAGAATGTACTCAACATTTTGCATATCCCTAAGTAAAGGCCTAAAACATTCGTTTTAGCTACAAGGTCCCTCTTTTTTATCGTTCAGTTAAAATTTAACATCATTCTTCGAGAAAAAAAGGTTTTCATTTGTTAATTCCCGGGCTGAGTTGATCAATCGGTTAATTGACCACGGTCCCTTGCTTGTATACCTTATAATAGGTTGCATGGTGAATTAAATTTTCAAAAAGCTAATCGATACCCTTAGCTCTGTTTGGAAGAAGTACAAATACAAATATATATTGTGTAAATATATATAAAATAATATAAAATACAAGGCTTTTCAATCTACAAGTTTGTGTTTATATTCCTTCCAAATTGAGCCTAATAATGGTCTCCCCCTCCCGCCTCTCTCTTTACCCAAATGTCACCAAATTAGATGGAAAGGGGGCGATTATTTCAGACAAAGATTCGACCTTCAAAAGAAAAGGGAATCGAAAAGCCTCTGGTGAAATCATGCGCTTATATTTTCGACATTCAAGTCAATAATGGGGCTGTTTGGTAAGTCTTTTTGGGAATATCTTCTAGTAATTTTTGACAGTCAAAAGACACATTGAGCTTTTGCATAAAGATCAGAGCAGTTCGAAACTAGTTTGGCTATCATGCATCTTTTCGTGTCTTTCCACGCGAGAATAAAGCGAGAAAAACGCGAAAAGCTCTATTTAGAGCTTTCCAAAATCAGTCCAAAATTGACTTCTCACATCTTTTTGGTGCATCGGCTTTCGACGATTATATATATTACAAACCAAATAGAAAAAGACTATGGTGTGGTCTGTCCGGCTTGTAAACAGCCAAAAAACTGCACAAAAAGACACACCAAACAGGTCTAAGATGGGGTACGAGCTGTCCAATGTGATTTAAAGGCAAAAATGTGTCTTAATCCCTTTGGGTTTCAAAGATTAGTCAATTACCTTTATGGGACACTTGTTCGAGAACAGTGACACTTCTCAATACATGTGGGAAGAGCCTAGGTTACGGGAGATGTGCCCAATACTTGGAAGGATGTGCGTGTGAGATTGGAGTGAGGCGCCTTTTGTGAGTAGCAGATTCGTCCATGTGTCAGGATTCCATTGATGTCTAGTTCGACCCGCATCAATAACGTTAGAACTGTACTTACTCAAAAGGGTAGAAAAACCACCAATCTACTTGGGTCTTCCCTCTTCAGTAGACAAGACCAAATGCAACACCTTCAATTACCTGGTTGAAAGGGTTGAGAAAAAAACAAGTGGTTGGGCTACCATCCCCTTTTACAGCATGTCCTGTCTTCTCTTTTCCATCAAAACCTATGAAAGCCCTCAAATGGGCCCATAGAGTTTTCTGGTGGGGATCTTCAAAAAAAGAATGAAAGAAAAAAAACCTTTAGATTAATTATAACCAATTTAACAAGAACGAGCCAAGTGGAGGGTTAGGATTCAAAGATTCAACAGTGTTTAATAGAGCTCTTCTTTCTAAACTTGCTTGGAGGTTAGTTGTGGATTCTACAAATTTGTTGGCAAAGTAATAAGAGCAAAATACGTAAGAAATACTTGTTTTCTTTCATCAAACCTAAGCTCTCATGGCTCTTGGGGATGGAAAAGTCTTTTAGCTGGTAGAGTTGTTCTCCTTGAAGGAATCTGTTGTGGAGTTGGAAATGGTGAAAAGTTAGATATTTGGAACTCCCCTTGGATTTCAAGGTTGAGTAGATACAAAATCTATGGCCCTAAACCAAACAATGCAAAGTTGTTCAAAGTTTGTGACTTAATAGATCCAAACTAGGTGGTTGATTAATAAGTTAATAGAGGAAAATTTCATGCCACCAATTACAAAGCAAATTCTAAGTATTAGGTTGCTTCTCATGGATGGGAGGATAAACTCTTTTGGAACCCACAGCCACAACGTAAATTTACTGCTAAAACAACCTACTTTCTAGCCAAAAAGGTTATACATGATTTGGAAGGCTCAAGTAGTAATCTATATAAGTATATTAAGTTGAAATGTATACCAAGGGCAGTATGAGGATGCAAGAAATGGAATTTAATATTAACTTTTTGCCTTTTTTTTAGAAATTAAAAGAATGTCACATAAAGACAAACCCCCTTATGTGGTTCACTTATAATTGCCCCTATATTATTCGAAAATTATATGACCATCACATATAAGACAAACCTTCCAACTTGTAATTGCCTCTATAATATTCGAAAATTACAAAACTACGACATATAAGACAAATATTCCAATTTAATTGACTCTAAGGCATTAAAAAATTATAGGAACACCACATATAAGACAAATTTACTCTTTTTACAGCAATGCCTCTATAATATTCAAAAATTATAGCAATGTCATATATAATTATTTACAATTATGCCATCCTACAAAATAAAATGGCACCCATCTTCTCTCTCACTTAATTCTCTTTCTCCTCTTATTCTTCATATCAACTTTTATTTATTCATTTATTTTTTTTATTATTATCTATGCATTTGTTTATTTAATAAAATTAAATAAATTATTTATAAATCAATAAAATAAAAGAGATTTGACATTGAGAGAAAGATTTTAATAGACATGTATTTATTTATTTTACTAAATTATTTATTTTTTTATTATTATCTAATCATTTATTTATTTAATCAAATTAAATAAATTATTTATAAATCAATAAAATAAATTAGATTTTGACCTTGAAAGAAAGATTTTAATAGATATTTATTTTTTTATTTTTTTATTATTATCTAAGCATTTATTTAGTTAATAAAAGTAAATAAATTATTTATAAATCAGTAAAATAAAGGAGATTTGACATTGAGATAAATATTTTAATAGACATTTATTCATTTATTTTGAAATAATTTACTAACAAATTATTCTCTCCGCTTGAGCCCAATATTTAGGTAGGGTTGTTAATAGGTCGGGTCCAACCCAATGGACCTGAATTGATTGGGCTGGTTCTAGTTCTGGGAACTGAAACCAATGGGTCTATTCCAACTCGGGTCCCAATTACTATTGATTTGGGACCCAATATATAATGTATAATATATTAAATAAATAAATTATATATATACTATACATATAGTATATATAGAATATTTAATATATATTATGGAAAAGTACGGACAAGCCCAATGCAGATTTCTGAATTCCACTACATATCTATAAACATTCAAAATGTCAAATACCCCCACTCTATGCACCAATGCCAGCTTGTGAATTGGAGTCAATTCCAAACTAGCACCTACCCCAATTGTACTTGGGCCTAAAAATTCTGACCCTGGGCTGAACTGTCATTCTCCCTATATATTATACATAAATATTTATTTTTTATTTATTATAATCGGGTCTGTCAAGTTAGACTTGATTGTCTCGAGAACCAATCGGTTTGGTTCCGATCCAAATATTATAGACCCTATCGGGTTCAGGTCTAGATCTGGATCCTCAACATTTCATGTTGGGTCGATTCTAGTTCCAACCGGTTCCGACCTAGACCCAACCTGTTAACAGTTCTATATTTGGAGCTATCAATAGGTAGGTTTGAGCCTAATATTTATGAGGGGGGCCAAAATGTAAGTGGAATAGGGGGCCATGGCTTCCTTGGGTCCCCTTGGCTCCACCCCTAGGGTTGGGAGACCTATTCACAGTTCACGTCAGGATGTGACCTTTGCCTTTATATCAATCAAACATATTCAAGTCCAAGTTTGAATATGACGAGACCATCAGGCCTAGATCTTGAGCCCAAGCCCGACCCCCATATAAAGCCCAAAGCTCGACCAAGAAATTGAGAAAAAAGATTTGTATTATTTATTTAACAACAAAATTGATTTATTTATATCAAATTGACTTCAAAAGTGAAAATTTTAATTATTTGTTTATTGTTTTATTTTATTAAATTAAATATATTATTATCCATAATTTTTATCTATTTAATTGAACATGCACCCAATATTTAGGGTTGCCAACAGGTCGGGTTTGGTTCTAGATAACTTGGATAAGTCATGTCCTAATAATAAATAAATACTTACTTATTTATTTTATTACAATAAATAATTGATTTATTTATTTTACAAAATTAAGTAAATTATTATCCATTGATTTTTATTTATTTAATTTACTAAATTATTCAATTAGTTAATAATTTATTGTACTAACAAATTATTTCTCTTTCTCCCCGAGCCTAAAAATTTAGGGCTATCAATAGGTTAGGTCTATGTTGGGTAGGGACGAATAGGAATTTATGAGGGGGGGCTAAAATCTAAGTGGATTGGGGGGGGGGGTAATTTAGGGCTATTAATAAGTTAGGTTTGGGTTGGGTAAGAGAAGAGCTAGGAATTTTTTATGAGGGGTGCCAAAATCTAAGTGGATTGAAGGGTAGGGGGAATAAATATGGATGGTCATTGGGGTGGGGAGTGGGGGAGTGGGATAATATACATGAAGAGTGGGGATTTGTTGGGCCATAGGGGGGACATGGCTCCTTGGGGTCCCCATGTCTCTGCCCCAGGGTTGGGATTAAACCTATTCATAGGCCACACTAGGCTTTGCCTTTATACCAACGGAACATATTCAGGCCCAAATCTGAGCATGACCAGACCATCGGGCCTAGATCTTAAGCCCAAGCTCGATCCCCATATAAAGCCCAAAGCCCAGCCAGGAAATTGAGAAAAAAAGATTTGTATTCTTTATTTAACAACAAAATTGATTTATTTATATTAATTAAATTGACTTTAAAACTGAAATTTTTATTTATTTATTGTTTTATTTTATTAAATTAAATATATTATTATCCATAAAATTTCTACTTATTTTAAGTAAGTTTTATTTCTAAAAAATATTTATTAAAAATTTTACTTTTTGCAAATTCATTTTTTCCTATACAATAAATTAGCTTTTACAACGCAGCCCCTCCGTTAATATGGATAAAGACAAAAAGCTTTGGAGTACAATTTGGTCTATTCCTGTACAACCCAAGATCAGAACACACCTATGGAAATGTTATATTGATGTTGTTCCTGTTAAAACCAGACTAAAGGAAAGACATATTCTTAATAA